TGACAAATGCTCCATCGACTTTTCAGGCGGCTATGAACCAACTCTTCTGCATGCATTTGCGCAAGTTTGTGATTGTCTTCTTAAGAAGTGCTTCAAACGACGACTGATATTCCATCACCGATCCGGTTTGGGTGAGTTTAGAAAGCAAACCCACATAATTCTCATAATAGCTGGGATCAAAACGTTGATGAACGGCCAGTAAAAAATCATCCCACGTTGCGCCACAATTGTTGGCTTGGTAATAGTGGAACCATTCCGAAGCCGGATGGTCAATAAGCATGGCCGCGAGGGATAAACGTTCATACTCCGGTGTCATAAAATAATCAAAGTATTTCTGGATACGGAAGATCCAACCGGTAGGATCCTCTCCGTTGAAGCGCGGCGCATCAACTCGCATCCGAGGTATCGGATCTGTAGTCCCCGTAGTCATGCGCGATGGAGGAGGGCGCCAACCCTGGTGCGGCTGTCGGCCATGCTGTCTTTGGTCCTCCGTACGAGTAGCGGACAGTTCGGTGACCCAAACTTTCGTAGCATGAAGCTCCTTTCGTATGTCGTTAATGGCCGACATGATATCCTCCAACGTCAAAACAGAATTGTTATCAGATGAGGCCATGAGAACGTCAATGAAAGCACCAGTTGTTACTCGACTTCCGCGAGATCAAGCTGCAGAGAGGAAGAGAAGAAGACTTGCGCGGCTGAGAAAGCCACGAAGGGGAAAGACTGGGGAGATTAGGGTTTTTGGGGAATAAAAGTTGCTTATTATTATTGATAAGGGTTGGTCCCTTTAAATAGAGTTTTCCCATTCCTGATTAATCTAATTTTCTACCCTGTCGGTTCAAGAAAAGCATCGAAGTAAAGAACCGAAAAGAAACCCTCGAAGGAGCTTATAAACCGCTCACCTAGTAAAAATCTACGTTACAAAATATTAATAAAATATTAAACATAATCTCGGTATCGTCGGGATGGCCCGACGTTCCTCCTTGGCCGTACGGGTGCTGGGTCGCCGCCTGGTTCCATATCCTCCTCCTCATGTACGGTATCAATAACAAAACGAACAACTTGAATTTGAACATGTGATTATTATGTTTAGGCTTAAACGGTTAATTAAAGTTGTTAATTTATTTACGTATGAAAGAAGATGAAGTGTGTGAATGTTGGGTGGGATTTCTAAGCACAATCAACTGATTACCTTATAAACACATCATCATCATCAATCCATATATGGCTACATATTAATCAATCTGTTATTATACTCTAAACCTAATAATTGAACACATTGCACCAAACCTTTTCACGTGCTTTAATTTGTACTCCGTAATTTCTTAAAATTTCAATTGGCAAATTGCCCCGGAATTAATTTCAAAAATTGTTGTAGAAATTAACTCATTTGTTACAAGAAAATATTGAAGGAAACAATAGTACAATTTATTACTTGTTCCATATATATATATATATATATATATATATATATATATATATTAATGTCGTATATAGGAATTGTGCATATACATGAAAAACATTATGCATAAAATTAATTAATGTCCTATATATATTTTATTAATGTCCTATATATATATAGTCAAAAAACAGCATTAAGACCATACTTTTATCCATTCCCTCATTCCCTGACAAATAAAAACAACAATATTGTTGATGATGATATAATAATTAATAATTATGATAATGTAGTAATAGCTTGTTCATAACGTTGAGAATTATAACATATCTTTTGATGCAACTCTCACTCTTTTTGGCTATCATTTTGGTGTGAGTTTCTTGTATTTAGGCCATCCATAGATGTCCAAACATGTGTTCCAATCCTTGCTTTTTATGGAGGGCAATCATCACTTCTTGAGCTAAATTTCAGGGCCGCTTTTGGATCGGGACAAAGTTATTATGCCAAAACTAACGAAAACTAGCTAGCTCGAAAAGCTTAGCGCAAAATATTCATGTATATATAGAAACACCTATACATACATAAACACACACACATATGTGTGTATATATATAGGGCTAAGAGAATGAGCCCTTAATATTTTACACTAGATGGTATATGGTAATTAGTAAATGATCTTCACCAAGCCAAGAAGCAAAGGCTATATATATAACAAATAATACAATAATGGTGGCAAATGGGAGGTTAACTAGACTATTGAAGAAATCTAAGCCATATTTTGGGGTCATCTTGTTGCAATTTGGGTATGCTGGTTTGGCCATAATCGCCAAGTCGGCTCTTAACGGCGGCATGAGCCATTACACTTTCGCGGTCTACCGGAATGCCACTGCTGCAGTGTTCTTCGCCCCGCTCGCCTTGTTCTTCGAAAGGTAGGTTAAGTCTCTGTGTTTGGTCACATGTAAATGCATATAAAAAAACTCATGAGGTGGGAGCTAATTCATAATACTATGCAGGAAAGCAAGGCCCAAGATGACCATTTCCTTGTTCATGAAGATAATGCTGCTTGGACTGTTGGAGTATGTTTTTTTGTATCTTTAGTTTATAGAATTTTTCATGTAAACACTGCAAAAAATTGGATGATTTTACGCGAATACTACCATAAAAAGGAAATTTTAGTTGTAGAGCATTCACGTAAACGTCATCCGATTTTTAAGCATTTACATGGTTTGGATTTGATATCTTCTTATTTCTCCAAACACTTTAATTTCGATTTTAGAACTTATATTATATATTTCAGATTTCAAAACATATATCATATGAATCCTCCAAATCTCGCCAAATGGGTTCTAAAAGATTGAACACAATTGATTATGTACTTCAACTCAAGACCCTATTAACCCATTATTTTTTCACAATTTTTTCAATGTGGGACACTTTTAACATTTCCCCTTGCAAATCTCAAGCTTAATGTTCAATCATGTTGTACTTTTGGTGTGATATAAATTAGAATATTAGAGATTAGAATTTTTCCAAAAAAATCAAAGTGCAAAATTGAACGTACCATATATTGTGGACAGGCCGGTGATTGATCAGAACTTGTACTACATAGGGATGAAATACACAACAGCAACATTTACCACGGCATTAAGCAATGTTTTACCCGCCATCACCTTCCTGCTAGCATGGATCTTCAGGTCACATTATTTACCGCTGTAATAATTTGAAAATAATCCCACCGGTTAAGGTTTAAAAAACTCTCATTTTACTGCAGGCTTGAGAAGGTGAATGTGAGGGAATTACGAAGCCAGGCAAAGATCTTGGGCACGGCGGTAACCGTTGGGGGTGCAATGGTCATGACTCTTGTCAAAGGACCCATTATAGGATTGCCATGGACACAAGAGGAATCTCATCATCATCATCATTCCCAATCTTCAAGTGTTGGTGTTAATGCTCATCATCATCATGATCAGCAGAGTTCTATTAAGGGGGCTGCCATGATCATTGCAGGTTGCTTCTGTTGGGCTTGCTTTTACACCCTTCAGGTAAAATAAATTACTAACTATGTGGTTGAAATATGTTTTTAAGAGAAAGAAACAATATCTACCACATAAATAGTGGCTCACATCTGTATCATTTGACTCACAACTTATGTTTTCATATAGGCGATTACGTTGAAATCATATTCGGCTGGACTCTCCCTGACTTGCCTGATATGTGGGGTGGGGGCACTCCAAGGAACTATATTGACTCTGGTTGCAGAGAGAGGAAACAGTGCAGCCTGGGCAATTCACTGGGATGCCAAACTCTTGGCCTATACTTACAGTGTATGAATGAAATCCCATCATCTTCATGTTTTTTTAATGAGCAAAACATGAGATAATAAAGCAACTGACACCCAAGATCTTGGGTTTTTCCCCATTGCCAATGGAGCTAATTAAAAGAGTCCATTTGAAAAAAATGTTTCAGCTAGTTCTCTTGTTGTATTATCTAAGATCTTGGGCTGGCATTTGATGCAGGGAATCGTATGTTCGGGAGTCGCTTATTACATTTCAGGAGCAATCATGAAAGAAAAAGGACCCGTTTTTGTTACCGCTTTCAATCCTTTGAGCATGGTTATTGTTGCCATTATGGGGTCCTTTATCTTGGCCGAGCAACTAGACTTTGGAAGGTAAAATACCCAGTAACTTCTTCTTTTTTTTTTTTTTTTTTTTGCATCACAATTACTACAACTATGGTTCTCTTAGAAAGACCCACTTTTGATTCACTAATGAGATGGAGTTTCATGATGATAATAATGCAGGGTTTTGGGGGCATGTGTGATCGTAATTGGACTTTACCTGGTAATTTGGGGCAAGGACAAAGATGATCAAGACAAGTCAAGCAACCACCAGACGGCTCAAGCTGATCAAGAACAGCAACCAGCAGATCCTGGAGATGTTGTGCCTGCAGAAGCAGTTTAGTCTACTCACAATCCACAGATTAGAGGGGCAGGGGCAATAAAGGAAGGAAAAATGTCAGAAGATGACTTTGGTGGTTACCACATTGGTTACACTTACCCTACAAGATTATCGTTTTACCCTTACGTCGTAAAATATCTACTTCTATGGAGGGTTTACTGATAACTTCATGTAGTAAAAAGGCTTCCATGATAGCAAGTTTTACAGTTTTGTGTGGTTTCCAAAACCAGTCTTTTAATTTTCTACTATAAAACTAAACAACGGAAAGCTTGAAATTAACACGAACGAGGTGTTCCTAGTAGCCACCTTTGTTCATTTTGCAGATGTCACAACCAAAAAGGCAGCCAGTCCCTTTAATGATTCCTCAAAAACTTTACCGGTGCACTTATATAAATCGTGTTAGAGAATAAACTTGTTGTTGAAGACCCAATATACATTTTTATATTGTAACAGATAAAATTCTAGTAATTATTGTTGATCAGTAAGAACTTGCCTCTCTTGACCATGAAACAACAATAAACCCAGTAAAAACAATCTATGCAAATTTCACCCATACTATGGAGTGAAGAGGCTGTTTCCAAGAGAGCTCCGGCCCGGATCAAACAAACTGATAAATCATTGTGAAATCGCTTAATGATGAGCTCCCTTTTTTTTCTTTTAAAGAAAAGGTACATTTCTCATGAAGCACTTATCAAAGTGGTCATTCTAGATTTGCTGCAGGGGAAATGGTGAATTGATTAATCTCTAAAAATATCTCAGGCTCCGTTTGGTACACGTAAATCAAACTACAGAATTGGAATTGGGGACAACAATCCTAATTCTGTTGTTTGATAGCACAAAAATATATGGATTTGGAATTGGTATTACTAAAAATGGATTGGAATTGGAGAATTTAATTCTATCTTAATCGATTCCATAGAATTTCAACTCCCAATTCAATTTCAATTTCGTCAATTCTTTGTACCAAACGGACCCTCAAAGATATAATTAGGTTGAATAAAAAACGAATTAAAACAAGTCCATGGATCTTTTCAGTACATCACAGCAACAATATACATATTGGAATTCAGTTTAGCATGAACAAATTTTTAAAATAGATAAAATAGATGCTCAGAAAATTAATCACAAAATAAAGACTGATTGATTTTGTTTATACAAAAAAAGTGAGAGAAAAAGAAAAAGTACGCATTGTATCAGATCTACCAATTGGGAAATGTAAGGATGTGATCGCAAGTAAATTGTTTAGATCTTCTCATCCATACGGGCCTTGTTTGGAAAAGTGTTTTAATTAGCCTTAACGTTTTGAATAAAATCTACTGTCAGATAATCTTTTCAAAATTTCTAAAGCTTACCTGATGCCAAATGGAGCCATGATCTTCTCGAGATATTTCTTCATCTCCAAAATTTTGATCATCTCACTCATCTCTTAGACTCTCTATTTCTGAGCTTTCCTTAATTACGTTGCGCCTGAAAGTAACCTCAAATTTGTTAATCTTCATTTGCGGCCAGAATAAGATTAATGTCTCGCCGAGATTCCTTTGGCATTTCCAATGAGAGCTGAAGCCTGAAACATTAACATCAATTGTGTAATTCAATTTCCTAAAAAAATGTGTGGTATTAGTAGCATCCAAGTGAAATTTCGATACAAGTTTTGTGACAGAGTAAAGGATTGAAACCTCGGGGTTTCACGGCCATTTCCAGTGCTCTAATGGTACATTTGACAGTGTTTAGAGAGGGTGTATTGTGTAAAGAAGTATGATGTAGAGTGATTAAATATAATTCGTATGTGTTGTGGTGAGTGTGAATATGTAAATTATATTGATCGGTTCATGTAGACATGTGTCGAATTTAAATTGGTTTGAAATAAAAAAAAAAAGAGGGGCAATGCCTGTGATGGTAGTCACCTCCTAGGGTCACACCTTCATTAGAAAGAGTAGCGACACGACAATTTGGGGTTTGATGAGGCTTGAAGGAGATCACGCCTCTAAGATCGCCAACACGTTATGCTTGTTGTAGAGTCACCACTAGATAATTTAGGAACGGCTCTCTAGGTTATCAACCATCTTTTAGATAGAATGATGTGCTAGACAAACCGGGTCATTCCAGAAATGTCTTGGATCCCCATCTTTGACAATCTCATTAGGGTAAACCTAAGGAAACAGGACCTTTAAGAGGATCAGCTAAAAATATTTTTGTCTCAACATCTAATACTCTGCACCCATTATACTTAACTTGCAATCAAACTTTATCAATTTTGATTGTAAAAAGTTAAAATTAGACAAATATTCTAAGACGGAATAATATTATTCACATTAATGCCATATGTTTGTAATAATGTATTTTTATTCTAAACATTAAATCCGATGGAATTATTGTCGAAGCTTGATAAAATTGAATATTCCGTATAGGGTCATGAGTTATGGTGGCGTGAGAAGGGCGCCATCACCTCTTTCACGCCCCAAATCCCATAACACCTTGGGCGTGATGGGCGAGTGGGCATTGCACTTCTCGTTAACAACTAATTTAGGATAAAGCTATTTTTAACCAAGAATTTGTACTCCATTTTGTACACCGTGGGAATGCACCGACATTTTGTGTTAGTGTAATGCTAATTTTTGTTAACGCACCAACACTTTGTGTCAGTGTAAATTTTTGTTAATGCACCAAACTTTGTGTTTATGTGAACGATCAAAATGTTGGTACATACCTTTGATGCACAAATGATGTACAAATTTTGGGACACATGTAGCATGCATCTTCAATTTATCACTTGGTGAGGTTATTGGGAAGAAGATTTCTTGTTGTATGAATGGACTTGGGGGACAAGTTTGCCCTTCCTATATATTCGGGAAATATACCTTCCACTTAGCATAACAATAAATCATCATCATTATCTATACGCATTAGATACAGTACTCATCCAAATGGACCTCTGGTTCGTCATCCTCGCTTCCCTCTCCGTCGCCTTCCTCCTCAAATCTCTCCGCGACCTGGTCTTCTCCTCCACTTCCAAGCCCCTCCCGCCGGGACCCACCGGATACCCAATCATCCGAACCTTCCAATGGCTCCGGCGGTCTTTCTCCGAGATCGAACCCATGCTCCGGAAGCTCAGGTCCGTTCACGGCCCCCTCATCACTCTCCGAATCGGCCCTAATCCCTCCATCTTCGTCTCCAGTCACGCTCTCGCTCACCAGGCCTTGGTCCAAAACGGCGCCGTCTTCTCCGACCGCCCGAAACCCCTGCCCACCACCAGGATTGTGTCTAGCAACCAGCGGAACATTAGCTCCGCCCCTTACGGGCCGACGTGGCGTCTCCTCCGCCGTAATCTCACCTCCGAGATTCTCCACCCTTCTCGGGTCAAGGCCTATTCCGGCGCCCGGAAATGGGTTCTGGGTATTCTCTTGGAGAGGCTCCGAGGCGATTGCGGGTCCGGGTCGGGCGTGAAGCTGATCGATCATTTCCAGTACGCCATGTTCTGCCTTCTCGTGCTGATGTGCTTTGGAGATAAGCTGGAAGAGACGAAAATCAAGGAAATCGAGAAAGTCCAGCGGAGATTGCTTCTAGGGTTCAGACGATTCAATATCCTCAATTTCTTCCCGAGGATTGGGAGGTTCATTTTCCCGGACCGGTGGCGGGAATTGATCGGAACCAGAGAAGAACAGGAGCGGATCTTCGTTCCCCTGATCCACGCCCGAGCCCAGTCCAGATCGCGCGAGGAAGAAGACGACGGGGTAGTGGCGTACGTGGACACGCTCCGGGATCTGGAGTTGCCGGAGGAGAAGCGGAATCTCAACGACGGCGAGGTGGTCAGTCTCGTCAGCGAATTCCTCAGCGCCGGAACCGACACCACCTCCACCGCGTTGCAGTGGATCATGGCGAATCTGGTGAAGCATCCGACGATCCAAGAGAAACTCTACGGAGAGATATCATCCGTCAAGGGGCCACCGCCAGGGGAAATCAACGTCGCCGCCGTCGAGGAGGAGGATCTGGCGGAGATGCGGTACCTGAAAGCGGTGGTACTGGAAGGCCTGCGGCGGCACCCGCCGGGGCACTTCGTGCTGCCGCACGCGGTGACGGAGGAGACGGAACTGAACGGGTACACCATCCCGAAGAACGCGACGGTCAACTTCATGGTAGCGGAGATGGGACTGGACCCGAACGTGTGGGAGGACCCGACGGAGTTTAAGCCGGAGAGATTCTTAAAGGCGGCGGGAGATGACGGCGGGGAGATGTTCGATGTGACGGGGAGGAGAGAGATAAAGATGATGCCATTCGGGTCGGGTCGGAGAATGTGTCCGGGTTGGGGTCTGGCGCTGCTCCATTTGGAATACTTTGTGGCAAATCTGGTGTGGTACTTTGAGTGGAGGGAGGTGGAGGGTGAAAAGGTAAATCTTGAGGAAAAGCCAGAATTTACCGTGGTCATGAAATATCCACTGCGTGCTAAACTCCGTTTAAGGTCGTCTTAGATTATTTCCAATCCTGTCCTTAAGCTCTATAAATAAATTTAGTTACTACCTATTTCAATGGTGTAAATTTATGGTTCCTTGACACTGGCTTACGGTGTAACTAGCGGTGCCACTGCATTTTTGAAGCATCTCTGGTGCTTGATTAAAAACTTGATGGTTGTTGCTTCTTAACCCACCCCCTAAACCCCACCCTAACCCTAATCCTACCCTCACTCCAGCCGTTCCCTAAACATCTCTCCAAATGTGTGGCTATTAAAAAATGCATAATAATATAATAGTAGTGCCACCGCTAATGTCACCGTTGACGAGTGTCAACGGAACTGTATCCATTTGAAATTAATGTGTGATTTCTTTTTTATTACTCTTTCATTCCATAATAACAATAGCTATTAAAATTTATTTGGTAAAATAATTTTTATATCAATATTAAGTCTGTTTGAAAATAAGATTAGAGATTAACATTGACATTTTAGATAAAATTTCAATAATGTTGATTATTTTGAAAATGCTAACGTTAATCATTCGTTATTCTCAAACATGCCGTTAATATGCCTGTCTACGTTCACCACAATGTAAGTTATCCATATAGTATCACACCAATGACATAATATAGTAAGATGACAAAGAAATTCTATAATGTGGCAACATTATAACCATTCAATTTTAATAATGCTAGTTGAGACCTTTTGGCATACAAAAAAAAAAGATTTTAATTCCCCCCGCGAGACAAACATAAATCAAATTCGATCTTGTGACAAAAAAAACATTTCAATAATTATCATGCCAGTAATTCCTACTAAAATCAAGTGACAAAAATGATAACTCGATGGCAAGTCCTTTTAATTTTTTTAAATCAAAATTACATATATTTATGTCCTAACTAGCTAATATGGTCACAGAACATTAATATTCTTGTGAGTTATGTTTTGGTCATATTAAAATAGAATTCTTTTGTTTACTCATTTGATAAAGTGAAATAATCAGGCACCTCTTGTTTTATATAATTTTTGATATATACAGAGTATTTTTCAAATATATCAATTTTATATTTTAATTTCACACAAATTTTTATATAAATAATATTAAAAATAATTTCACTCAAAAAACGTAAATAATAACAAATTACTTAAATTGGGAAGGCATGAGTAAAAATTTTGACACAATTTTGAGATATGTAAAATTTATTTTATTTTATTCTATTTTATGTTTTATAAGTGCTTGTGGTCCAAAGAAATACTCCAATTTTTATTTCTCTACTAATTTTCAAATAAAATAAATTTTAAATATTAATTTTATATTGTAAATCCCTCCAAGCTTTTATATTCGGAGACTGAATGAGTAATTTACTACTACATACGGTATCTACTTCTAATTTCGGCTAAATAAAAATTACAATAACTCTTTATATGATAAAACTAGAGATGATTTTTATAGTTATACTATCAAAAATGATGTAGTTTCGTGAAATTTTTTTCAATTGGGACACATACGATATTTCATATATAAAAATTTATATATTTAAAATTATTTGCAAAATTTAGAAATAAGTTCTACACAATAAAAAGTGGAGTACCAAGAACAACACTGTCTCCATCTTGGAACCGCGAATTAAAACAACCAAAACACGTTTAGTTAACATGTTGAAGGTAACGTATAGGTCAACTTACTCAACAAAATCACAAAATCTTGCTAACAAATTAGTCATCGAAATACGTTTTGCATGTTCATGTAGAGTAATCGTTCCTTATTTTTTGTCTCCTCCCGTATTTTCTTTGGCAAGTGACATTTTTTCTAAAGGATGACACCCTATTCTCGAAGGTCTCTCAACACTGGCCAGACAGTTAACTGAGAGAGATAAATTGAGCTATATAATCTCAGTCAATTAGCGTAAGGATAGTTCATGGCCGGTCTCGAAAAATGAAATAATGAAATTGGTCTGGTCTGAAATTTACGTTTTGAACCATATTTTATTATTTTAGAGTATTTATGCTTCAAAATGAATGATGAATTTAAAAATATGGGACCCTAAAAAATTGGATCGGTCAAGATCACTATACGAGACTTCTTAAGGCATTTTTGAGTGACCGAAGGGGGATGGCTGTCCTAGCCCGATCGTGTAAGGTCATTACATATGATGTTTTGAGAAACCTCAATTCTTAACGTTTGAATCTTGAAACTTAGCATTTAAGCATTGTGGTTCTAGGAAAAACAAACCAAAGAAGCAAGATGAGATTGGGTGGCGAGTCAATCCATATCGAGCCATCAACCCACTCAACGAAGTAAGCAAGATAGAATCTTTTGTCTCAATTCAACATTCTCAATTCAAAAAGAGCAGACCAATATATAACTATCGATTTTAGGAACATGAGTTATGATCGATTACATTTTAGAAATTTCACTTTTCATGATTTATGAAAAGTTCTTCCCAATTTAAGTATCAACGAAAGTGGAAGAATTACTTCATGGTGTGTCATTAATTGAGAAGATATAAACAAAAATTATGTTATAATCGAGTCATTAACAATAAAAAATTCAAAAAATTAGGGGGGGAAGAGAGGGGTATATAAGAATGAGTCCAATAATTTAAAAATTTGGGAACATCTCCGACAGCATGGAAACCTGTTGGTTCCTCACACTCTTTTGCACTCTCTGCGTTTCCTTCTTCCTCAAACCTCTTTTCACGTTCATCTTCTCCGGCAACTCCAAGAAACTCCCGCCGGGACCTTTCCTACCATCTCTAATCGGATACATCCCATGGCGGAGACGACCCATCCGGCTCGAACTCATTCTCCGGGACCTCAGATCCAAGTACGGCCCAATCTTCACTCTCCGAGTCGGCTCCGTCCCGTCCATATTCATCTCCGGCCACTCTCTCGCGCACCAAGCTCTCATCCAGAACGGCTCCGTCTTCTCCGACCGCCCGATCCCGCCGCCTGTGACTAGGCTCCTCAATAGCAACCACCGCAACATCAGCTCCGCCGCCTACGGCCCTACCTGGCGCCTCCTCCGTCGCAATCTCACCTCGGAGATTCTCCACCCTTCTCGGGTCAGATCCTATTCGAAAGCCCGGCGATGGGTTCTCGCAGATCTCTGCAAAAATCTCCTCAATCAAAACCCAGACTCAGGCGTCAAGGTAATCGATCATTTCCGCCACTCCATGTTTTCCCTGCTTTCTATGATGTGTTTCGGAGATAAACTTGATGAAACCCTAATTAACCAAATTGAGGCGACGCAGAGAAGGGTCATTCTCAGTTTTCGTAGATTCTATTTGCTCAATTTCTGGCCTACAATTGGGAGAATTTTCTTCAGGAATCTCTGGAAAGAGGCGATTCAGGTAGCCCTAGATCGCGAAATCACTCTGATCCCTTTGATCAAAGCCAGAATTGAGCCCAAAGAGCAGGGAATCGACGAGGAAGACAAAGATCGTGTCTTGGCTTATGTAGATACATTGAAGAATTTAGAATTGCCAGATGAGAAGAGGAAACTCAACTATGGAGAAATGGCTACCCTTTGTGGGGAATTTCTCAATGCCGGTACCGACACCACTTCCACTGCTTTGGAATGGATCATGGCCAATTTGGTGAAAAACCCTTCCATTCAGGCCAAACTCTACGAAGAAATCGCGGGTGTTCTTGGAACCTCACCCAAAGAAGATGAATTTGTGAAAGAGGAGAATTTACAGGAAATGCCGTATTTGAAAGCAGTGATCTTGGAAGGCTTGAGACGCCACCCTCCCGGACACTTTGTGCTTCCTCACTCAGTCACAGAGGAAGTTGAGTTCGAAGGGTATTTCCTCCCCAAGAACGCGGTGATCAACTTCATGGTGGCGGACATGGGGTGGGACCCGAAGGTGTGGGAGGACCCGATGGAGTTTAAGCCGGAGAGGTTTCTTCCAGAAGGGGGAGGAGGGGAAGCGTTTGACATAAGTGGGACCAGAGGAGTCAAGATGATGCCGTTCGGCGTTGGGAGGAGGATTTGCCCTGGCCTGGCTTTGGCCATGTTGCATTTGGAGTACTTTGTGGCTAATCTGGTTTGGTTCTTTGAGTGGAAGTGCATCAATGGCTGCGGCGTTGATCTCACCGAAAAGCAAGAGTTCACTACTGTCATGAAAACCCCTCTCCGGGCGCGTCTCTATCCGCGAAACAACAATAGATAAACTCATCTGAACTTGGCATGTTCTGATGCTAAAGGTTTAATGTAACTCTTTGGTCTTTGGCTCCTCAGAGGTCTTTCTTAACTGTGTTCTTCAGCTCATTATGCTTTTGTTATAAACTTGCTTACACTTTGTATAAAACTGGCAAAATACACATGAATGAATAATGTCTGTTTCCTAGTTCTCATAGTTTTGGGAATGTTCTTTTATCACTCACTTTATTCACTTCCCAGCACAACTTCATTAAGAAATGAAGATTAGTCTAATTGTATAGAAGAGAGGGAATGAAAATGAAAAAAAAAACCAAGAATGATTAAAGGGGAATCTAGTAATTAGCAACAGGGAGCTGCTCATGATGATGATGGTCGTTTCCGATGAAGATGTTGTCGTAGACAAGGGCTGCAATGGCTGCTCCGGCGAAAGGACCGAACCAGTAAACCCAGTGGTGGGTCCACGTCCAGCTCACGACCGCGGGCCCGAAGGAGACCGCCGGGTTCATGGATGCTCCATCAAATGCCCCACCAACCAAGATGTTCGCCCCCACAATGAAACCGATGGCAATGGGCGCGATCGTGCCCAAGTCGCCCTTCTTTGGATCCACGGCGGTGGCGTAGACGGTGTACACCAGCCCGAACGTCATCACCATCTCGAAAACCACCGCGTTCCACACCGACACGCCGGATGATAGCGCAAATGCAGACGTTTCCTGTGAATCAAGAAGAGAGTTGAGGTTCATTTTTTTCAAGAAAAGTACTTCCTACGTCCCTTAAAACTTTTCTACTTTAGAAAAAAATGTGGGACTTAAGGAATGTACAATTTTGGTGTTATTTTTCAATTTTGTTTTTACTTTATAGTAGGTCAGGATAGAATGTGACAAGTAATACTCCCACCCTCCCAAATTTATAGTCACACTTCAAATAACATGCAAAATTCCTCCTTTTTAAATAAATATCATTTCATTTTCAAATTAGTATATGAATAAAAAGTATAAATTGCATATTAAAAAACCATATTAAAAATTCTACAAAACAAGATGTAACAAAAATATTTTATTTTATCAAATGATCTAACAAAAACATACACAAAAAAAAAAACAAAAGTTAATGAAAAATCCATTCATTATTTTAGTAGAGTGTTCCTTACGAGTCCACCGGTGGCGAATTTGAGGAGGATGCAAGCGACGACGGATCCGAGCAATTGGGCGATCCAATACACGATACTGCGGAGGAGCGTGATGTTGCCGCCCAAGAAGGCCCCAAATGTGACGGCGGGGTTGACGTGGCCGCCTGAGATGTTGGCGCCCACCGAAACCGCCACGAAGAGTGCCAGTGCGTGGGCCAACGCCGCCGCTATCAGCCCTGAAGGAGTTGTTGCTCCGCCGTCCGTTAAATTGCCTGGAAAACAAACATCCCAATTCATTAGCATTAAAATGACCAATATAATGTTGTCAAAGTTCTCTAACTTCGAAAACACATAGGAGAATATGAACGAAAGAACTCACCGAAAGCCATGCCGGAGCCTTGACCAGCGAAGACGAAGATGAGCATGGAAAAGAACTCGGCAAAGGCGGCCTTGAGCACGTCGGGGTGGCTCGCCTCCCCCGGGTTTCCGATCGATATCCGATGAATAGCCATTTCCGAAGGTCCTTCTTTATATATATATATATTTAATTGTCTGGCCTTGCCTTCTTAATTAGTTTGTTTAGCTAATTAAGTCACAAGCTTAGTGAGCCATTGTATTGATAATCAATAAAGTTTATTGCAGATATGATATATATATATATATATATATATATAGAAGCAATCAACAATGAAAGATTATTGTCAAATTATATATATATACACACATGACATATAATAAAGTGTTGTTGGATCTATTTATAATTAATCAATGAATTAAGAAAGTAAACCAGTTTAATTTTGAATGGATGGGGAGATTTTGAGCTAGTCTTTAGGTGTATGAGTGGTGATCCATTGCTTCATTTGCTTCCCAACCTCTCTCTTCCACATAGTAGTATTTAATTTGTAAATCTAATAAAATATTTATTTAATTACTCCATTCTTTCACTTAATTAAGTTCATGCTTTCCCACATGCTTAGTAGTAGTACTGGGCAATTCATCCTCCCCCACATTTTTTATCAAGATTATTCTTAATTTATTTAAATATTTGTGTAAATTTAAAAACTTAATCTTCATAGGTACAAAGTACTACTCCTTCCGTCCGGAAATGATATTCCCACTCTACCTTTTTTTCGTCCGATAATGATGTTCCCGTTCTACTTTTTAACACATAAACTACCCAAAATACCCCCTAGCCAATTACTCTATTTTTTCTCTCTCTTTCCTTTTCTCACCCAATTCCTGCCATTTCTTCCACCCTTTCTCTTTCTTTCTCTCTGGATCTCTCTCTCTCCACCTCTTCTCCTTCTCTCTTCTCTCCCTTCTCTTTTCTCTCCCTCTCTTTTCTCGGCTTTTTTTTAAATCTCTAGATCCTTCTTCGGATCGGATCTTCTCCTTTTTTCTTTCCCTAATCGGCCCTCTTTTTTCTCCAAGCACTACAAGAAAAATAGGATATAAGGACGTTATTTAAGGACACTTTATTTTGAATGGGTCATTAAAAGTTAAGATTGCTCCTTCTTTTTCTTCTTCTTTATCTTCTTCTTACCCTTCTTTCTCATGTTTGATTGACTCCCAAATCTACAACCGATCTGTACCAGATATGACGGTGGCGATGGAAGCGATGGTAGGATCGGTGGTGATAGTGGGGCTAGGGACGACGGAGCATATGTTTTTCTTCTCCCATTTATTACTCAGTCTTTTTAGATCTTAGATTTTGAGGCGGGTCTAATGGGATTGGCAATTGTGGCGGAGATTGAGGCGATGAGGGCCGAGGCGATAGTGGGGGTCGGGCGGCTGCGTTGATGGGAGGGAAGGCAGTGGTAGTGCCCTGATGAGGACAGGGGCAATGCTAACAAAAAAAGGGTATTTTGGACATTTACATCTAATTGTCAACTCTCCTTAAAAGAAAAGTCAAACCGGGAACATTATTCCGACGGAGAGAGTAATATTTAAAAACTACTCCGTATTAAATTAACAAAAAATGACAGATGATAATATACTATGTGTCTGATTGTGAACAATTTTAGTGTTTAATCTTCACTTTTGAAAATAACTATCAAAAGCACTAACGCTAATTAGAAATATTTATTCTAGACTCTCTTGAACTCATGAAAAACACCACATGTTGAATTTGAATAGGCCGGTAATGTAAAACGGACGGGTTCTGTGGTCACTCACTTAAACTTGTGGCAGAAGACATTGTCCTAATTGGGACACCTACGGTACTTCTTTCACAAAATTGATAGTTCCTAACCTCCGGTAAACCCCTCACCCAGTCCCAACCGCTACGCATCCCCACCCAATCCCGACCCACGTCAATTACGGGGTGCAAATTTATTACTTCCTCCATCTCTTAAAGTTCTTCTTCCCATTTTGATTTTTAAGAGAATTAATGGAGGGATATTTTTGTATTGACTTTCCAAAAATACCCTTGATGTAATGATTAAAAGTAAGATGTGATTGTTAGATTATTAGTAAAAAAAGGTATGATGTGATAGGTAGATTAAGAATTAATAGGGATAAAAATAGTTTTTTAATAAAAATATGAAAGATTTTTTTGGGGCAAAGAAAAAAAAGAAAGGAGAGAGAGTTTATGAGACAAAAGGAATAATTTTTTTTGTTGCCAATAGTTGATTAGAAATTCTAGGACGAAAAGATATTATTCCATTTTTCTAATAAATCTAAACTACATTTTATTTTATTCTCTCCGTCCCTAAATAATTTACACACTTTATTACTTAAAAATTTTGAGAACTTTTTTTTATTTGTTTGTTTTCGCTAACTATTTGACGAAATAAAATATTCTTATCATCTCTTATTTTGTACTTTTGATGTGATTTATAAACATGTAACTATTTATTTTTATTTGTTTAACAATTTTTAAATAAAATGAATTCAAAAATCTTAAAATTTACTTTATGTTACGTAAAGAATAACTGATTCATGACACAGATGAAATACTACGTATTATTTTATCTTCCTTACATTTAAAAAAGAGTAAATTCCCAAAATGGTCCTTTGTAATAAGGTGTTTTTCCAAATCAGTCCTCAATAAGTTTTAATTACCTTCATAGTTCTCTATAATTGAGATATATTCCTTAGATAGTCCTTCGTAAATAATGTTATTCAAATGATGATTAATTGAGAGATATTTTGATATTTTGATCATCCAAATTTAAAGTATATTCTCGAAACAATTATTTCTGTACAACTAAATGTAACATTGAAAAAATACATTGACTATAAATAATTTATGAATTATTTAAAACTTATAAAAAATATTTTAAATTTCAAATCAAATACACATCTTTAATTAGAAAAAATCATTTTGGGAAAGCACTTCATTATAAATGATCATTTTAGAAATTAATTCTAAATTTAGCGGGTAAAAAATACCAAAATACTCTCAATTAATCCTCATTTGAGTAACATTATTTACAAAGGACCATCTTGGGAATAAATCTCAATTATAGAGGACCACGTAGGTAATTAAAATTTATTGAGAACTGATTTGGAAAAACACCTTATTACAAAGGACTATTTTGGGAATTTACTCAAAAAAATGAAGGGAAAATTCAAGATTTAAATAATGGAGTAGGCTTGGGAGCTAGGAAGGGAAAACGGGGAAAGGAAGTGACGCCACCGCTGGCGTCAGGTGAGCGCATAATGATGTCATTACTTGGAAGAGGGATGGGAGCCATATAATAGCTCCATCCTCCCCACCACCGCACTAGAGTACTAGACACCATCCCAACATTAAAAGAAGACAAAAAAAAAACACACACACACACGCACAAGTTCCATCCACCGGTAAGCATGGCGGCGGCGGCGGCGGCGGCGGCAAAGACGGTCTGCGTGACAGGAGGGTCGGGATTCATCGCCTCATGGCTCATCAAAGAACTCCTCCGCCGTGGTTACGCGGTTAATGCCACTGTCCGCTTTCCCAGTTACGTTTCTAAAATCGAAATATTTTTAATTTTAATTGTAATTATTATTATTATTATCATTATTATTATTATTACAACTATTATGTTCATAACTATGAGTAATAAATTATTTCATTTTTTTATTTTTCCCATTTCACTATTTTTACGTTTCATACTCTTCTAAATTGATATGAGAAAAACACTTTTCAATTTTTTGTAAAAACTTTTGGAATTCAAAATATTTTACCGAAAAAGACTAAACTAGGATTAAAACATAAAAAATATACCAAAATACGATTTCTATTTTTTTTTTCCGAAAATAAAAGTTACAATGCAAATACAATGTCAATCACGAAAGAAAAATGGATTTGATCACACTATGTGACATGTCTGATATTTAAAATAAAATCTGTAATATATAAAATGTAGTTACAAATATATTATTTTATAATAAAAAATGCATAAATAAATTGAGGTGCAACGTAACCATAATAACTTTTTAAAATTTAACATTTTAATATTTATGCTAAATTTATATTCTAATCAAAAAAATTTGCGAAAGTAAATTTTTGTGTATGAAAATGACAATACTTTTTTATCTTAAAGACATACATTAAAATAACGTATTTGATGTTTGTTAATATTTGATATTTAAAAAAAACAGAGGATCCAAAGAAGATAGATCATTTGGTGTCACTGGAAGGGGCAAAGGAGAGGCTAAAATTGATGAAAGCAGATTTAATGGAAGAAGGGTCTTTTGATGCCGCCATTGCTGGCTGTGAAGGTGTTTTTCATTGTGCATCTCCTTTTCTAAATGATACTCCTGATCCTCAGGTATGGTTTTTTTAAATTCCCTTCTGATTTTTCATTGAAACTAAATGTTCACACACACACACATACCGGCTGCGTTCAGTGGCCACGGAAGCCACTGTCTCCTATAATGCTTCGGTCGTAAAATTGATGATTCCTACCCCTTCTGACCTCTCCAGTAACACCCTTTGCCCAATCTCGACCCCAATTCATCCCCCACCTACGTCAATTGCACCACGCAAGTATAGTTGACTTTAAAATCTAAAGTTTTGACCTCAAAGTCAACTAAAATTGCTGTGTGTGCAATTGACATTGGTGGAGAGATGAGTTGGGATCGATTGGGACTGGATAGGAGGTTTGCCAGGGGAGTTAGGAGGGGTAGGAATCATCAATTTTACAAACGGAACATCGTAGGTGTCTGAATAGGGAAAGTGGCTTCCGTGGCCTCTGGAACCGGGTCACTGAAGTTCGAACATGTGACATCCAACTATGTATCTTCACCATCATCAGACAGAGTTGATAGACCCGGCGGTGAAGGGGACGCTGAACGTGCTTGGCTCGGCGGCGAGGACGCCATCCGTGAAAAGAGTCGTCTTGACGTCCTCCGAAGTGGCCATCGCTTTCAACCGCACCCCTCGGACGGCCGACACCGTGGTGGACGAGACGTGGTGGTCGGACCCCGATCACTGCAAAGAGAACAAAATGTGGTACGTCTTGTCGAAGACTCTTGCAGAGAAGGCCGCGTGGGACTTCCTCAAGGAGAAAAACGGTGCCTACGGCTTCGATTTGGTGTCCATTAACCCGCCATGTGTGATTGGCCCCATGCTACAACCATCTCTCAACCCAAGTTGTGCCAATGTCTTGAGTTTGATAGATGGTACTTTGTCCATTTTGACTTTTTCCAACAACCAAATCTCAAACTGAACAAATATTCTAGAACTCTGGAAGATAGACATAATAAAGTTTTTTTTTGTTGTAGGGGCTGAAACATACCCAAACGTGGCCTATGGATGGGTATATGTGAGAGACGTTGTGGAGGCTCACATATTAGCATTTGAGAAACGAGAGGCTAATGGAAGGTACTATGTGGCGGAGAGGAGCGCAAATCCTCTTCAACTTATAAACACCTTGGCACAACTTTTTCCCAATCTCAAATTCCCTACAAGGTACTCTAGTTTTTTTTAAAGATTATGTGTATTTTCAATGTTGATTTTTTTTTTTCAATCAAATCATGCAAGTTTTTATAATCAATTAATTCACAATTATAGACGGAGTAATACATGTCCACATAAAAATAATTTCATTATACTTTTTCTACAAAAGAGTTTTTTAAAAGTATTTACAATGTGGTTTTTATTTAATTTGCCAAGGGATATATGTTATTCCTTCCTTTTCAATTGATTTTGACAAGAAATCTCATAATTCCTTCCTTCTTGAATATCATGCAGATGTGCAGACGAGAAGCCTTTGGCACCAGCGTACAAAGTGAACAACGAAAGGGCGAAGGCACTCGGCGTCGCAATCACTCCTTTGGAACTGGCCCTAAAGGAGACTGTTGAGAGCTTGAAGGAGAAGGGCTTCCTCAAAGCCTAAATCTCTTATGAGTTATCACTTACTTAAACTCTTAAAAGACACTTCTTAAGTTCCTAGAGTTGTATTGTTGCAATAATAACTCCCTAAATAAAGATTATGGTTTGATTGGAAGTTATAGCATTCTTCATTAAGTTTTTGGTTTGGCAGAAAATGTTATTTTTAACACTAGAAATTGGTATAATTGATGACATTACTGGGTTTTTAAACACATACAAACAATAATTACTTGGACACATATAATGGTTCTATGTGCATGTTTGGGAGACACTGCAATATCATCAATGATGTCAAACTTCGTATAGTATGTGTCCTAATTTGGCACTAATTTTGAGCATTGTGTTAAAATAAGACAAAGATTAAGAACGAGAAATGCTAGAGTGACAAAATACACACTCGCAAAATTCACAAATTAACTTCATTTTTAGATAATGAAAAGGCAAAAATCACTAGAAATGCATTTGAAATCGAGATACTACAAATCGAGAGAACTTTGAAAAGCAAGCAAAATCACTAGAAATGCATAACCAAAGTGTCTCCAGAAGAATAAATCTAGGCTCAAATAGAGAGAATAGAATGCACCAAAGTTGAGAAAAACGGCATTAACAAGCCCGAAATTCAATTGCACCATTAAAACAGATAGAAACGCTACAGGGTGATTGTGAAACTACCAACACCAACAAAAAATTAAAACAGGTCTATAGAGAGAGCATTAGGGGCATTGGAAAGTACAAATTTTGTTTAGATGATTCCAATCTTGTTGGCAACGTCCAATGCATCAAAATCTGCCGTCAACCGTACATATGCCTTCTTGGTTCCATCAGGCCTAGATAATTTTTTGACAAAAGCAAAATAAAAAAAAGTAAATATTTTTTGAAATGAGAACAGCACTTGTACGAAACAACAAAAAAATAAAATGTTTTAGTTATTAAAAAAATTACCTGATCAATGTGTTGACCTTCTTGGTCTCAATTTCATACATTTTCTTGACAGCATCTTTGATTTTCTTCTTGTCAGCACGGATGTCAACGATGAAAACCAGGGTGTTGTTATCCTCAATCTTCTTCATTGCAGACTCAGTTGTCAAAGGATATTTAAGGATTTGGTAATGGTCGAGCTTGTTTCTAGGAGGGACACTGATTCTGGGATACTTTGGGTTCCTGTCCTGTTTAAGTGTCTTTGGCCTGTGGAAGGTGACCTTGGTGCGGATCTTCTTTGCCTTCTTCTTGAAGGTGGTGCCTTTAACGGCCTTGGCTGCCTTTTCAGCCTGAGCCTTTTGGTCCTTTTTAGCAACATTTCCTGTGACAAAATGATTCATTAGTTATTAGCTTCAATTCATAAACCTGGAAGTCTGAGTCCAAATAAAACCCACCATATACAAGGCTAAAGAGACCTTGAATTTTGGGACATTACCATATAATCCAAACCAAATAAAAATAGAGTTACTCTATGGACTAATCAAAATAAACCAACAAACCCAACATATCCAATTCAAGAGTAGGGTTCGGGAGAAACCCGGACAACAGTAACTCTTAATGCAAAAAAACACAAATATACTTCGTACGATACTAAAACAATCTATATATAAACCCTAATATAACATATCCGTTTGGTAGCTGTGTTTGTAACTGGTGTTAATGTTCTAGATAATGTTTTAACGGTGCAAATTAGGATTTAAAAAAGCTGGAGTGTGCCCTTAAAACCCGTCGATCATGTCCCCAGTCATTCCTACTAGTCATGTAATGTTAAAAATGAAGTTAAAATACAGTAAAATTAGTTTTACTATAGAGCGGGGTAAAATAAGCATTGAAAGAAGGCCAAATTTCGCTTATAGGAACTGGGTAGGGTTTTTTTTCAAACATATGCTGAAAGTAAATTCAGCTAAAACACAGTTACGGAGTACAACACAAAACTACAAATTACTTCCTAAAACAGTAATTAACTCAAACTTGATAGAAGAACATGGTGATAAACATGGGCATCAGGTAAAACTGAGAACAGTCTAAGACCAAATGCAAATAAAATACAAAAGAAATTCAAACAGAGTATGATGAAAATAACCAGATTTCAATCAACTGTAAATTCACATTAGAAAAACATAGCATGATGAAATTCAAGAATCAGATTCAAGAAGTAATTCGAATTCATCCTAAGTTGCTTACCACTCGGAGGCATTTTGAACTGCTTCACAATCTTCTTACCTGATAAATCAATTTCAAAAAAAAAAAAGCAAAAATCAATTGATAGAATTACGATTAGAGGGATTATGAAGAAGAAATGGAGAGAAGAAGAGCCGAGAGGAAATACCTTGCCGGCCGATTAGATATGGAAGGAAGAACAGCCGAACGGAAAACCTAATGGAAGTTTATATACTCGGTACAAATATAATTGGGCTTCTTGAAATCCGTAGACCTAGTTAGGAATAATTGATTAAAGATTCATTATTCAAAAAAAAATAAAAGGCTTCGGCCCTATATGAAATGCTTTTTTTAACAGTGGCCCAAATATGAAATGTTTATTTACAGCGGCCCAAATATGAAATGTTAAGTGACTTGAAGTCCTCAAACAGTATATGATTGTTGTTCCATAAGCCATTTCAGTTTTGGTTCTTGTGCTTAAAAAACAATACATTTAAAAAATATACTTCTCTCGTTTCGAATTAATTGTTCTAATTTGACGAGTTTAAGAAAGTGTTGAAAACTAAAAAATATTTAGTTGAAATTTGTTTAGAATAAAGAAAAAGATTGTTGACCACATATTATTTAGTTTATTAAGGAAGTAGGACAATCATTTTGTAACAAACTAAAAACGAATTTAGGATGGTTATTTCGAGGAAGTAATTAATTATTGGATTAAGAAAAATATTTCATCTAACCTAATTGGTTTCTATTAAATTATAAAATAACTAAAATGGAATTGAAATCATTTCAAAATAGAGTTGTTCTTCTATGGTCTTAGGGTTCAGATGTGAAATGTGTACTTTTTCCCACTTTTAAAATGGACCAGCAAGTAGATTCTCTTTTTCTGCAAAAGACACATTTCTTTTATGATATGAATGTATAGAGATCCATAAAATGAGCATAGACCTTAGGATCACATAAGAATTTGTCTTCAAAATAAACTTTTTGTTTACTATTCGTAGGACTAAACGTTATCTACTTTTTTATTCATTTGATAAAAAATAGTCATATACTCATATCATTTCCTATTTTGTTGACTTTGAGTATATTTTTTAAATATACACTCTGTTAATTTTATTTTTAGATATCTCTAGCCATTTTTCAAAAAAAAAAAAGTAATCGAAAATAAATTGAGTGGAACATTATAAACTACAAAGGAAAATTGACTCTAGGACGATGGAGTATAAGAAGTAGAACCGTGTGCACAAGTACGCCCTTGATTTCGGTGTGAGTTCTTCAATTAATCGGTTACGGTTCTGATACCAAAATCGTATCCACTCCCAACTAACAGGATTAAATTAATTGGGTATATTAATCTCTCTATGTAGAGTATTTATCTAATTTGACCTTTTTTATTTAAATTGGACAAATTTAATCATTAGTTGCATTAAACTTGTATTATGTGCTACTAAAAAAACTTGTACTATTATGTATTAATACATTGAAAAAATTTAAAATTTTAATTTCACAAGATAAATTTAATCAAATTATTTTAGTACTAATTGATGATCAAGTATTATCCCATTGAACTTGAAAAAGTCAAACTTGACGATTACTCTCGATGCAAGTAATATTATAATTCAAATAATTAGTGTCCCAAAATTTGGAAATAAACACCTCACAGATACTTTCTTCATCCTAAATAACTATCTATTTTTAATTTTTAGATGCATTAGATTTTGAATAAATGTGAACACACATTATATTTACACCTAATAAATACTTTCTTCATCCTAAATAACTATCGCATTGTCACACTACAGCTGTCACACTATCACTGTCACACTGTCATTTGTCACTGCCGGCCATTAGAGTGTCATCTCCGTTCAGTGACGTTGACTAGTGGTTTGGCGGTACCTGACTGGTCACACTATCTTGTAATGCGGTTATTACTTTTTCATCACACTGTCAACACTCTTACAGCACACTGTTATTATATTCTTATTTTGGTGTTAAATAATTTAAGACTCCTATTTTAATACTTTCATATTTTTATTCTTATCTCGGAAGATTTCTTTTTATTTAACTTTTACTGTATCTATAAACTCATATCAGACTCTTTTTTAGAAATGCTAGTGACTCTTTCTTTAAATACAACCTAAAAAATACTCTAATATATGCGGTTTTTGAAAATAGCATGTAAAAAGTATTTTCAGACAAACTACTTTTAAACTTTAATGTTCAATTGTTTGTTTTTGTTTTGTTCCATTCCTACTTCCCATATTACCCCCTCACATGATGAAAAGCACACCCCCATAATCACAACAAAGATTGTGCCTTGCCTTGAATTTTGCTGTTACATAAAGATAAAAAACAGTATGTTTTGTAACAGAAAAAGCTAATAGAATGAAGAGTCATGAAATTGCATTTCCATTCTTTTTAGTTTATTAATAATAATATTCTTACCATGCACATGATTTTTTTGAGGGATATGCTAGGAGTACACCAAATGTGTACTCCAAATGTACACCACTTCCCTTTCTACCATTCATTTTATTTTGTTTTTATTTTTTTTTTTTTGAATTTTTCTTGCCTTTTTTTGTTGTGATGGAGGGGGTGGGGAATGTTTGAGGTACACTTTTGGTGTACCCCTAGCATTTTCCTTTTTTTGAATATTTTTAATACGGAGTAAATGCAATTATACTGCATCATGAATTTTAAATTTAACACAAAACTTCTTATTGCAATTTACGATGTTGGACTAAAATCATTTTAAATTCAGTTTATTACTCCGTAGAAATTTGGTGTTACAACATCTCCACGGTTTATTTTAAAATGGACCTTTTTGCCCTGTAGGTATTACACCTCCACGGCAACAGAATATCACCTCAATTCATCCGAAGTTAAAGGCTTACAAAATTGTAACATTTCAAGATTATATTAAATAACAATAAAACAAAGACATCTTTTTTATTTTCAGAGTCAATTGGGAAGGACTTTCGTGGACTTTATCTAAACTTGACAATAAGCTTTGGTGGGGTGCGCCGGGCCTTGGTAGTAGTGCAACACCAAGACGACGCATGAAAAATCCCAAGACAGCAAGCTATCTTTGTTGGGCCTTCCCCCTTTAAAAAATTGAGTTAATATCGTGTGGGCCAATGACCCACATATCAGATATTAAACTGATAAGAACAGATACTACACTTGATCTTAGCCAAAAGGCCGAGAAAGGAATGCTTTGGCACTAGGTCAGCCCTCGTTATTTATACACAACCAGAAAATCTCACTCCTTCTATGAAACCGGTGTGGGACGGAAGTGGATCATACCCCTCTATTTCCTCTTCCTTTCTTATTGGCACCGAAACAAGAAAACTTTGACATGGGGCACATGGCCCCATGAGCCCTTCCTTAGTATTCCATACTAATTAGGGTGTCACTTATTATATTTAATTTAATTTCTACAATTTTCTATGCCTAAAGTACATGACTACATGTCCCTTAATATACTTCACTTAATTTTTAGAAAATTACTCCGAGGTACCTTTAATTTTTTTATAACTCTCATGTCTATATTATCTTAAATGTACTGCGAGGTGCCCATGAGTTTCTGGTAAGAATTCTCATTTCCATATTATCCAAAATATTCTCCAGGGAGGCTTAAAATTTGTAATAATGTACTCCGAAGATATGTTCCGTCTATTTGACCGTTATGACTGAAAATTACAGTATGTTATTTTGACAAATACGGAGTATTAAACTTTACATTGACAATCATTATTTTATTAAATTTAAATAAAAATTTTCAATTTATCAAAGTAAAAGAACTTTTAATCTAACTTCTAAAATGAGAAAATGTACCCTCTGAGTATAATATCCCAAATTTTAAGGACACCAGACTATATTTTAGATAATGTGAGACCCGACAGTTTTTACCAAAAAATCGATGGTACCCCGGAGTATATTTCAGATAATGTGTGACTTGGGAGTTATTATCAGAAAATCAAGAGTACCCAAAAGTAATTTTTTGATTTAAGTTCTACTAATTTCTAAGTCTTAAGTATACATCCCTTATTATAACAATCAATAAAAATCTACGAATGCTATCACTTTGAAAACTTTATAATAAGCTAGAGAAATACTGAAACTATACACGTAGTATGTTTAAAAGAAATGGAATGACATTGTTAATGTTCGTTCTTTGAAAAATATAATGAAAGGATTAAGTTATTGATATCCTAATATTTGTACCTTATTTTGTGTCAGTGTAATGCTAGAATAATGGTTCATACATGCACAAAATATTAGTGCGAATCTTTTTAATCGCGCTAGCATTTTGTGCGAGTACGAACCATCAAAATGTGATTGTTTATCTTTTATGTAACTTTGCAATACAATCCTTTCCTTGGTGTAAGTGTAGCATGGTTATATATGAAATTACATTAGGCTTTGTTCTTGTTCGCTACTTCGTTGACATTTGAATTTATTTCGACGAAGACAAATAAAATTGTGCAATGTAAATGTTGCAATAACCATTTAGGTTTGTTCTTTTAATTCTAAACTTTCACTTTTGATTACAACATTTTCTACACTTTCAATAAAACTTCAAATGTTTGTTCAATTATGATCGTAAAAATAACTTACTAGTATCGGTGTGAAAGAGGGTAGAGATTGCCTATGCACGAGACACGTAAAAGGAGCGGCTCCTAACATGCACCTAGGTGAAGGAGTTTATTTTACATATTACCAAGGCACTTGAAAATTCTCAATACGACAGAAAGAGTACTAAATTCATGCTTAAATGTATTTAGATGTGAACGTTGTTTAGTGACACGAGATATATGTACTATACCAAAAAAATTGTTCGAAACATTCGTGTAATATATTACAATAAGAAAAGTAATTATTTTACACATTTTTGTCCAAAAACGTTATATTTGAAATATGAAGTAATTTGATTGTATCTGTTAAAGTATAAATTACATCTAGGACTAAAACCGCAAGCTTGAACTTTAAGGTTGAGTTGGTCCGTTGTCATAGTACTGGAGCCTTCTTGACCAAGAGGAAATGAGTTCAAAACTCAACACTCTGTTTAAAAAAATATTATCCACATGCAAGGTTGCAACAAAAATAGGGGGTTTTCCTTGCAAAAAAGGGTTCCGCTTACATGTGAAGATACGTGTTGTAATATATAATATATACCCTGAACCTACAACCACAAACCTGAAGTCTACAACCATAAATGTTGGACGTGTTAGAATCCTGTGTGAAGTTCAATTTAGAGAGATGTCAACAGGAATATAAAATATATCTTGGGGCTACAATCATAAACCTTAAGTCTACAACCATAAATGTTGGACGTGTTAGAATAAATGCAAAGTTTAATTTAAACGTGTTAGAATCCTATGTTCCACTCTTGCATGAAGCACCTTGCCCTAGACTACTTTTTTGTTCGAGAGCTTGTTGCATCTGCCACTCTGCATGTTCATCATATTGCTTCGGGTGATTAAAGAACTGGTGTGCTTGTAAAGCCTCTTCTTGCGCATTCATTTCTCTGACTACGTTCCAAGCTTGGCATTTCTGACGGCACGCCAATCTTTCACGCATGGGGGGGGGGGGCTATTAAGTATAATAATAAAATAATGGAGAAAAGATTTAATAATAATTGTAGTGTATAGTTTGTATATATCCCTTAGAGTAGTATATCTCTGCACTGCCTCTAGATAAAGACCTCTTATTTGAATCGTTGTTGTACCTGCTTTGTCCTAGTCTTGCGGCATATCTAGTGAGTGTTTGGAAGATATTAATTTGTGAGTAAAGTGATTTTCACAACAGTTGAAAACAAAAGTACCGTGTATCTGCTTCTGTGAAGTAATGTTCTATATACAAAATAATAGTGAAGAAAAGCAGAAGTTTGTATACCAAACAGAAAAAAATGATTAACACTTAGGGTGCATTTGATATACGAAATTGATGAAATTAAAATTGAATTGGAATTAGAATTCTATGGGATTTAATTTCATAGAATTGAATTCACCAATTCCAACTTATTTTTTGCACTATCAATTCCAAATCCACATAATTTTGGTGCTACCAAACACTAGAATTGGATTTGAAGTCTTCAATATAATTTCAATTCCATAGTTTGAATTCTGTGTACCAAACAGAGCCTTAAAGAAGAAGCTGAATCGTTAGTGTTCCTTCGCTCTTGAAACTTGTATATACTCATCAATTGGTGACTTCGTAAAATTATGTTGATAGAGATAAGTTTAGTATTGAACTTCCTAAAAATATTAGGGTAGACATTGTCCTTAGATAATGACCTTCCCTCATTCACGAGGTTGTGTAAGAAAAATATTAGCATCGCCGATCAATATGTTGGACAATTAAACTTTTATAATTTATTTTATCAATATTGGAAAGAAAGGAAAACTTAATATAATTGGACAGGGGCCGCGCGGACGCAGGCCCCTACTGCCACAAATTATGACATAGGCTCAACCTCTTGGGTAGACCTTAGGCAGACACCTTTCCACAATGCAATGAATGACATCAGCCTAGGCCATGAGCCTTTTTGATCGCCCATTGACCCCGTCCAGGTAAGTATGGAGTTTGGTGCGCCCTTGGCCGTTATTTATACTTTGTTTCAAGGCTTCTTCTCTCTTCCCTATCCGGTGTGGGAAACATCTAAATTCATCTTCCCCGCAACGGAAAACTTAACTCTATCTACTACTGCCCTATGCATGCGTTTGGAAAATATAATTATTATTACTCTGTCTTCAATTTTAGGCTCCCATTTTTTAAAAAAATGTGTTTTTGTGACCTTAGAACCTAAAGATGACCGAAAATGAAATGCCCACTAAAAATAGGTCAAATTCAACCAAACCTGAATTCGATCTGATCAACACGCTAGAGTAAGTCTTCTTCAATATCGTGTACATTAATTTTAAATATAATACGACAAAAATATTGTTATAATATTTATTTTTCTTATTTATTCTTTTTCGTGTTGAAACTTATTTTTTCATACAAGTTTTAAGTGATATTGTGTTACTTACGTTGTAAAAAAAGAAATTTTACATATTAAACTTTTAATAATACAAAAAATTTAAATGAAAACTTTAAGAAATGCATGTTAATAATCCTAAATTCAACAAATGTCACCACCACTCCTAGAAAACTTATATCGTTACTCCGCTACTAACCCAACAACTAAGCTCCCCCCCCCCTCCAGTTTAAAGTTGAAAATGAAATGTGGTAAAACTAAAGAATTATAATACATTTATTTTTTTAGATTAATTTGGAATAGCATTTCAGACAAAGTTGGTAATTTTAAAGTTAATATTCTATGATCAAAAATATATTTGTTGGATTGGTCTTGATTAGAGAAAATCTTACGGCTTATCTTAAGAAAGAGTCTGAGCTATATATTTAAATTATGGCCATTTTAGGAGTATAAATAAACTAAAAAAATAAAATTGAACTGGTTAAACATAAACTTTTTTATAAAAAAAAATGACAGGAATGAATTATAAAAACATATGGAAATTTATAAGTTTGATAAGATATACCGTAACCTCTTGTGAAAACCAATTTCTATAATTCATCATCATTATTTTTTTAGTGTTTTGTCCAACCCAGCTCCCTTATATCTTTCACTTTGTTTATAATTCAAAAACAAATCCCTCTAAGTAGAATTATACTCCATAGAGTCACGCTTAAACTTCTTGACAGCTAATTCTTTTATACTATCTTCGTCCCAAAGTATTTGTCCACTTTCATTTTTACAAACCATCCAATACACTTCTTTAATCCATTTTATCTTGTAATTTGTATATTAAAAAATTATAGAAATTATATATTAATAATCTATATGTTAAGACAAATCAAGATCACACAAGACTATATTTAGGCTTACACATTTCGAGAATTTAGTGAGTCAAAATGCTTAGTTGAACCGTTCCAAAAATCAAAAATAAACAAATATAGCGAGATAGGGGCAAAACATCTTTCACTTTGTTGGCAATTAATTTTTTTATTTAATCAGGATAAAAAGGAAAAGTTTTAAAATTTTGACAAGGGCCGCGCGGACGCAGGCCCCCACTACCACAAATTATGACGTAGGCTCCACCACTTGGGTAGACCTTAGGCGGACACCCTTCCAAAGTGCAATGAAAGTCTTCAGCCTACTACCACAAATTATGACGTAGGCTCCACCACTTGGGTAGACCTTAGGCAGA